ACACTTCTTCGTCTGGAAGACGTTTTCCGAACCCTCCCTCCCTTCGCCAACCTCCTCGCGAGTTATGAGCCTACAATATCCCTCGATGATTGGATCTTGCTGTGCGAACTTTTCTCGGACTACTGCTTTTTCTGTCCACCCCCCCCCCCTCTCGTATAAGTACTCGTTTACCTGATGCAGCTCTTTTGTTTTCATTTTTTCTTATATTCACGTGGCTGAGGGTTTTTTGTTGTGATGTACTCGATATCGATATAGTTTGCCACTTTTTTTTTTTAATCAGCAATATTGTTCAAATTGGTTGTTATCAAGATCACAGTACTCACATAACTTGCTGAAGGAATATAAAAGGTGGTTAATGAATCACATTAGGCTTGATTCGTTTGTATAGTATACTTGTGAATATCATAATACACAATTTTACTTTTTTTTTTATTTCATACTTAATTTTACAAAAGTTTAATCGATTCAGTACCAAGTGATTCCGCGTAAGCCCAAACCCTGGAAAGGAGACCATACGTGAATCCAATAGATTTTTTTTATTAAGGTTGCGTCAGCTATTTAGGATTTATTTGTACCTTGTTCGTTTTTGCAAATAGTCTTACGGCATACAACGTTGTATTAACGGTAAAAAACCATTGTTTTTACAACGTCACAATAAAACTCGATTTCACAACGTTGCTACACTGTAAAAAAAACTTTTCTTAAACGTTGGTACATTATTATGTGCTTCTTAAACAAAAAGGGGACTGTTCTAGCATGTCAATTTTTAATGTTCTAACCATAATTTTTACTATATTCAAACTATAGAAAAATAATAATTTTTTACTTTTCTGTCATCTTGCATTTACGGTACATGATGCTAATTTTTGCTGGAATTTCTCTATAATTTGTATTATTTTTCTCTCTCAGTGCAGCTCCTTCGGAATTGAGTTAAAGAATTACTTTGAAAAACGTTTACTGTACCACCGGTTAGTGAGCAGGAATATTGCACACTATTTACCCTAAACTCCTACATTAGTAGTAAGCGTTGTGCTTTTGCGTCTGATTGCAAAGGTGTTTCGGAAGCCTCACCCAAACGTCAGGTCCACTTCCGTTAGGAAGATTCGAGAGCGATTTCCCCGAAGACCGTAAAAAATCGGTCCACTTTGGTAATTACTCTTGTAAGCCAGCCAATCGACTGTCAAGCCAAGGCAATAGTACCGCTGCTTTTCTCCCAGGCCCAACAAGTCGATTAAACAGCTCACCGGGAGCCAGCGTGAAAATCAACTTCCCATTCCCCGGTTCGCAAGACGAGCTCCAAGATCCTCCAGAAATCGATCGACAGCCCAAGACCTCCCCCCCAAGAAGCTCCGCGGAAAGCGAGCGACAAGTGCAGCCGCAGAGCTGTTTTAAATTAGCTTCGGTGGTGCTAGAAAAATTCCAAGCCCCGGCGAAAAATTAAAGGAATACCCACTGCACCCCACCCCGTCGGTTTCTCTTTTGGATCCTCCTTCCGTACGCGCAAAGCAATCTCTTCGAGGGCTCATAGGCCCACAGAGCAGGGGGTCGAGCCTCCGCGCTGGATTTTTCAACGCCACTTCCACGACGCAACTCCCTTCCACTCTTCTCCTCTTTTTTTTTTCCTCCCAATAGTCTGAGCGTCGCCGATATCATTTTTTCTTTCTTTCTTCTCCCCCGCGAGCCACTTTCTACCGTGGACTGTGCACGGCGCGGAGGAGCAACTCGATATCAGTCGTCTTCGTTGGGCTTCCTCGGTGACTGCGTCTCTCCACTCGTCCGTTTTTTTTTTTTTTTTTTTTTTTTCTCGAGGAAGCTTGCAAGCGCCGCGGCGCGTACATAGCCGGTGCATGAATTGTTTAAGGGTCTTCGCTCGACTGATCGCGCGAATCGATTTCGCCCGCCCGGCTGGGTACGCGTAGAAGGGACTGAGGGTGATTTTCGTTGGCTATGCCTTTTACGGCTGCGTCCGATGATTGATTTTTGGGTGGTGGAGTCGCGAACATTTTCATCTAGTTACAGGGAAAAGTACTTCATGATGGGACTCGAGAAAATTGTTTTATCGTTGAAACTTCGAGGTTTTAATTTTTCAATGATATTACACGTTCTGGTCCATGAACGAAAATTTTATGGTTTTTGTCTGATATACCTTCAAACATGGTGTTTTGTCCATTTAAATGTGTGATACATCGTATTTTCTACGCGTTAACATTTTTAAAAAGGTACTTTTTTTGTCTGCAAACACAAATAGTACGTTCATCGTCTGGGGTGTCGATATGAGTTTTTTACGAAACGCTATTGAAGTAGTGTCCTTCAGTCCAAGCTAAATACATGAGACAGAGGAAGGAGAATGGAAAGGGTTGAAAATTTGCGTTGTTCAAGCTGCACACTTGCATTATTCAGTGAAAGACGAGAGCGATGAGACTCGATTTTTCAATCGTAAAGTCACCTGTATTTTTGCTCAGTAAAAAAATTTAGTTTCATATGGATAATATTTTCTTAACGATGAAAAAGAAAGGTTTTCGTAAACCTTACTCAATAGGAAAATATCAAAATTATCGCGTAAAGCTTCAATATCAATAGAAAAGTTTCAAAATTCGATGACCAATGTTACCCAATGTGCCAATCTGTTCGGCATTGCATGATTTTTCTTACATTTGCTTTTCGTTTATTTCCGTCGGGTACAATTTTTCATGTTAAATGTACAATTTCGCAAAAGCTCTGTTTTTTTTTTTTCTTAACTGAGTAAACACCGTGGTAAAGTTTCATTTTATTCCGACGACAACAACTTCGGATCACGTGAACGACCTTCATCTGGGATGTGAGATGAGTAGGCACTTTGATGACTAGTGTTTTTTCTTCTTTCATCATCTCCAACTAAATATTCATACAGCAAAACCATGGATTTATGTGTAAGTACCTAGTGCGTACAAAGCCCAGCCAGGGCGTAAACTCCCTGCGATTGATCATAAAGTTAACGCGCGGAGAGCGGTGTTTGCGCGCGTGTTCGAGGGAGGGACAGCATTGATGCATCAGAGACCGGATAGCTGAAAGACCGTTAAACCCGCGGTGCACACTGTACATCAGAGGAAACGCCGCGTCTTTGAGGGGAAGCATCCGCGACATCCACCCGCACCCTCGTGTTTCGTGCGCTTTGCTCTGTGCAAGCTCGCAAGTTCGGCATGCTGCATTTGTCGGTGGGTGTATGTGGCGCATACTCAGGAATCTCAGTTCCGAAGCAGTACAGTCGCTCGAATTTGCCTTGTGCATCATCTACCGGTTGCGCCTGTTCTATCGGCGTCGCTGTGCGGAGGAGTAGAGACTGCAGTGATTGATGGACTTCATTCCCGGGAGCTTGGGTATTTCCATGATATCGTGAGAGGAGGAAGGGGGGCCGAGAGCGAAGGAGGTGATTTTTCACGCCGATAGGGGAATTCGATTTTTAGACCCTCTCGGGTTCTTTTTTCTCTTTTTTTTTCGTCTCATTTGAGGGGAGGATTATGTCTCGCGTGGATGGACTATCGATTCGACCTTACGCTATTGTCGGGGCGATGAAACTTTGGGTGCTGTTGTTTTCCAATGGCGCGTGGGAGGGTTAAATTTTTTTCTTTGTTCTACTCATCTTTTATTCTTGTGTATCCTGGGTGATTTTGCATTCGTTTTTCGTGGAAACTCTGGTGGAACACATTTGATCTTGCCCAAAGCATGGTTTTCGTGTTATCCGAAGTGAAGCTTTCAATGCAAGTGCGCAGAGCTTTAGCTTTTTTCAATTATACTGAAAAATTGCACGTATTTACACGAATACAATTTTTTTACAATCATCATACTCGTTGAAAGTTTCCAGACGTTGCTATAAAGTTTTTGAAAGTTTCTATGACGTTGCGAGAAGGTTCTTCGTAATTTGGACAAGGTTCTATTGGAATAGAGTTTCTATGAGATTGTATAAAGTTTATAAATGATACTGTGAGGTTTTTTCAAAGGTTTACTAACAAAGTAAATACGCATTTTATTATTTGTAATCATTTTTGTAATTTGGATCAGTTGTTTGGCATATTAGACGAAAGTAGTGGGTGTAAAAATTTTATTTATTCGAGATGTACAAGCTTTGTGTTATCCTACACGTATTGCAATTGACATTTTGTTTTGGAACTGAAATTACTAATTTTTATAAGCAAAAAATCGATTTCTTACTACTTCCAGTAATTTTTGTAATCTAATGAATTTATTTAATTATTTGGAGGAACTTACACAATATAAAAAGTTATTTTTTAAGATCTTCTAGGTTTTAATTATTCATCTGACAGAAAATCTATAATACTGACTATTCATCTTGTTTAAAAGATTGATTGTCACGTGACTGGGACTCTGTTTATTCGTTGTATCATTGGTAAATCAATAATGTACTAAATTACGTACATTAAAAAAAAATTTTTTTTTAATTTAAATATTAAATTGATGAAAATTTTTTTAATCCTTATGTATTTAAAATTCAGTATGTACGCACGGGTATGAAAAAAATTTTTCTAGGAACGGATGTAAACCTTTTTTTAAGTTACAGTCAAAAATATTATTGCTAGAGTTGGAGTGGAAACTTCATTTACACACATAAGTATATTTATGCGTATATTATTGAGACATTTTGGCATTTGTACATATATTATATGGTAACGTTTATTGTAACAAGTACATGTTATCATGGAAATAAAATTTGTATTCACATTATTGTATAAATAATACACATACGTTATCATGTAAATATCCTTAGCCATCCGTGTGTTGATTATAAATTTTTCTCATTTTGCAACTAGTTGAATTTGTAGTCCAAAAACAGATGGAAAAACAAAAAATTTTTATTTCATCGCAAACTAATTTTCATTATTTATATTTATAACTGAAAGTTTTAATCAATTGATTGAAAGCCATTTACATGTGCCACACAATGGCGGTAAATCAAACATATTGAGATTAGGAGTAGGAAGTTTGTATTTGCATTTGATTGATATTTAGTAGCTGATGATGTGCGTGCACTTGCGGTGGTGCATGTTGCGAGTGCCAAGATCAGTGAATGCTTCATTGCATCTGCAGCATCGGAACCAATGCCAGGATTCCATGTGATTAACAAGATTGGAGATTTGCGGAAAAGTGTCGTTGCACACCGCGCAGAGGTGCGTGTGGTGGGAGGCCACGTGCTTTTGAAGATCGTTGTTGTTGGCAAAAGCTTTCGAGCAAACGTCGCAGTTGACGCCAACAGGCAGTAGGTTCATGTGCATTGTGAAATCCTCCTGTTTGTCGCGGCCTTCGTGAATTTGATGATTATTTTTCTGAACGAAAGCTGCAGTGCAGGAGAAAAGCTCCGTGTTGCCGTCGACCATCTGACTTAGTTTGTGCTGCCCCAAGTCGTAGGGGGTGTTCGGCGCCTTTTCACACGTTTTGGAATAAGAAGGGCTTCCTCTAAAACTTCCCCCAGTTCCGTCATTGTACTTGAAGTTCTGTCCTTGGCCTCCAAACATGTCTTTGAAAAATCTGGTGAACCTCGGTAGGGCAGGTTATCGATGTCCTGCCAATTCTTTAAAGGGATGATGTTGTTGGTTCTGTAATTCGATAATTGAAGAGTTCGCTTGGTGAATAAATTTTGTATCACGAAAAATAATATTAAAGAAACAATCATATAATTTTAGTTATGTCACCCAAGACAATAAAGTGTAGGCAAAGTTTACGTATTAAGTAATATAAATAGCAAAACCCATTCTACAAACACTGATTTGAGTGAAAAATTAATTTCAACAAAAGAATGCGAGCTAAGTTGATCCCTAGGTGGGTTTTTTGTATAAATGTGTGTGACAAAATTTAATAGACTAATTTAAATAGTTATAATCTAATTGAGCTTAAATTCGAATGATATGTAAACTTTTAACTTTTTCATTGTATAAGTATTATTAACCGTTTTTTCTTTGCGAATTTCGTATTGAAAAATATAATGTTATATGAATAATAACGATAAATAATTTTATTGGAAAAGTTAGTAATAATTTGCAGAAATTTTTTTAATTTGAAAATTTTCATTTGAAAAGATGTCGTTTATGATGAATGTAAAACAACAATAAGAAATAATAACAGTTTTTAAATTTTATTCTCAGTCTCAAATCTGGACTTTATAACTTCCTAGTATCGGTTTTTATAATTTATCATCAGTCATTCGTTAAAATAATTTTTGCTCGAGTCATTTTTACCACCCTGCTTCTCAATAAATTAATACTGTAACAAACAAACAATAGTTTTCAATACCTTTGATGGTTGAAACACACGTGGCATTAATTACATTATATTCCACATGTTATCAACATTGTGCTCATTTACTTTCTACACAATTGTTGTAAACAATATACCTCTTACACCGAATATACTTTTCAGTATGCGTATACGCATACAAATACACACACACACAACGTTTCTAGGTTCAGTCTCCTTACCTCTCTACGATCTCCCACCGCTAACTACGACTAATTTCTTGTAATTTAGGCACTCTTTAGTTGATTTAGTACTTTTTTTAGTTTTTCATTCATATTAAATGTACACTCGATATTCATCCTAACCTCCGCACATCTTGAATTAGTTGGTCTCGGTAATTTTTCACAAATACCAAACTGAACAATCACAAGGTTCTTTGAGCACAAAATATAAGATTTTTCTAAATGTTAAAAAAAAAAAAAAACTTACCCTTACGTTTATAATAAATAATTTCTAGTCTTCCAACCAATCGATTGAATAAATCTCAAGTTAATTATACATGCACTTAATGCATTGGATTAACACAGCAAAGGCAGTTGAACAAATTTGTTTAGTGCACCAAACGTTATTTAATAACAAACTATAATCCACACCGTAAAATGCTTAAAGTTAGTGTTTAGGTACTGAATACGACTTTAGAACACTTATCACGTATACGTACAATTTTTGGTGCGTGGAAAGTAGTTAGAAACATATTAATGCTCCTGGTTATCAATATAACGAGTTTTTATGCGTGTAAAAGCCAAAAGATTTGAAGTAACTGTATTTGTGATAAAATCGAGCACGATAAGACTTAATGTGTAGCACGTAAGAATTTGAAAAGTATATTGAAAATTTTTAGAAGTCTTACTTACGAGATTATCCAGTATGCGGTGCAACTTATCCATTCGAAATTTTTTTTTTCAAGTGTACTTGAAGTTTAGATTAGCAAGAACAAATACTGTTAGTGATCAAAAGGTTACAGATTGACGTTGTAATAAACAAAATAAAGTGTAACTGTATTGTACTTAATTGTTTTTTTACTAGTGTGATAATCATTGTTTTAATTTTAAGGAATATTAACTTGTCAAATTACCGAAACATTGAAAAATACAGTATGTATCAAATGTAGTTTAAAAACTAGTATTTTTTATAGGATTCTAGAAAATGGATGTCAAAATAATTAAATGTTCTATCATATCTTGTTGTAACAAAAATGCTTTTCGAAACCCTTGTCAACGCTAATGATGCTTTAATTACTTTGTTCGTGAGACAGAGTTATTATTTGACATGCCTTGAATTTTGGCATTCCACATCTATTCCATGTTTCAGTTTAGCTATTATTTTGGGCAAATTTAAATATTGACAAAATGAAACTGTTTCTTTTTTTAAAAGCTTGTGTGACTAACGTTGCGACGTTCACAACTTTTATTTTCCCTGGCTCATGTCCCACCAAATTTGTCTACAATTTCTTAGAGAATCTCTAATGTTTTGTCAAGAATAGCACCTACTACTCGGTTTCCTGTTGTTCTATAAAGGTTATCAGTAATATTGAATTTCAATACTTATTATTGAAGTTTTCTTTTTTTGAATTCTTGGAAACAAAAAATAACAAGAAATTGGGAAAAAATTACCACGTACCTCTTGGGGCCCCATTAGCATAACGTATTTCAATTTAACTAAAGTTTTTTTTTTTTAATTATTATTAAGTATAATTAGGTTTAATAAAACGCACAAGCCATTTCGGAACACATTTCTTGATCGACGATCCCTCATTAACGCGAAAAAGAGTCATAATCATTTTAATCACCCATGTGACACCATAGCAGCAATAACGTTTGCCGGCACCTCAGAAATTTTCCGACAGCATCACCAGCACCAACCCCGAAACCCATGGCGAAGCAAATTTTCCAAGACCCATCAGTAAGTACACCTACATTGGTAATTGATGAATAAGTAAAGGCAGCTGGGACACAGATAAGCAGGGAGAAAGCTTGTTTACCCATGTTTCGCATCGTAGCAGCTCATACGGTGCCCCTTCCCCCCCAAACGACGCGTATACACACAGCCACGGTTACCTAGAACCCGTCTCTCTCAATTTCATCTCTCCGTCTGTCTTTACTGCAGCCACCCCCTCAGGTAATACACGTACACGTGCAGTGCAAGCACAGCCAGCTTATACTCAATATTCAAATTAAGCTCGCACGGGCGCCCTCGTACAAACACACACACACACACACGTGTACACCCACGAGTTCTCTCGCCTCTCTTTTCACCTGTCCTTGTCTCACCGGGTCTACTCTGGGGCTCTTTGGTGTCTCTGCGCCTGCAGTATACACACTCATCTAGGAGACCATCTCATCCACGAGGGGCACGAGAGCTTCGGGAACATCCTGTACCCCCATTATCTTACGCCCCATCCATTGGCACGTTGTATATATATGTGTACATATAGTTTATGTTTGCGCGTATATAGATAGATAAATGGATATGTTGCACGGGTGTAATTATATATAGGTTGATGCACGCCACTATACACGCTTGTCGGACTAATTTGCGAGTCGAATTCGTCGAGAGCCCGAGTGACCCCCCCCCCCTTTACTCTGATGTGGATTTCCATTCTAATTATCGATCTGTATGCCGTACATATTTTGACGCCGAACGAGGGAGGACGAGGCGGAGTTACGTATGCTCGATCGAACCTGAGCGCGCTAATTGTTTTTGGAGCGCTATCTGTGTATACCCTTCCATTTGTGTACTTTTGTCGGGTTTCTGGTATTATTGCAATGGTGTATTTTGCATGTGACATCGTTTTTGTGTACGTATTTTTTTTTTTTTCCTTACGCGAGTGGTGTCTTACAGGGCACATTGAACAGTTGGCTCGAGAAATCTTTTGCTCTAATTAAATGATTTTAATGGTTGATTACTATCATTTTCATGCAATGGTAAAATCTGTTGTACTAATTTCGTATCTCATGTCAATAAGTTTAGGGTTTGCGTCTTGAGGTATAGCTGCCAAATGAAAAGATTATCAAAAATCAGTGGTTTTACAGAAGACACGGCGTTAACCAGTAACTTTAGGATGTCTTTTACAGGTTTTGTTTAAAAGAGAATATTCCGTGAATATCCGTACTTCAATTGACCGTTTGTTAAAAATACAATTTTAAACTCTCCAGGCATTGTCTTAAAATTTTCATCCAGCACGCGTGACCGTATCTAACGTTAAATTAACTCCCAAGCACTAAAATGAGCTGCACAACATTATTTATTACGAGTCAAGTAGAACTGCCAAGCTCCGAAAAATGTATGTACTTTTCATCGCACTACGTACAATAGAGGTGTCCACCAATGCAGAGAGTAAGGCCAAGATAGGGCGAAAAAGTGAGCTGGCGTACACTTACCCGAGTGTACTTGAAACGAGACGTGGGACAGGCTGAGGTGGTGCTCTTAGAAGAGCATACATTGCATGGCATGGCTTTATTGATCTTAATTTTACTCCACCTCCTCTTCATACACCATCTTCTTTTCTCTTTTAAAGATTCTACCAATCGAAATGCTGCTCACATCCAGCTGGAAAAGCCATTTTATAAGCTACAACGAATGCCTTTTTTTTCTTTCAGAAATCATACCATTATTTTATTTTATAAAAAGTCGTATCTTATCTCTCGTTGCAGATACTTTTATTTTTTTAATACTGCTCCAGGGTGATTAATTGATATCTTAATTTAGTTATTTTTAAAAACATTAGCTAAAGTGTGATGTTTGAAAAGTTTAGATAGTGAGTAATTTTTTTTCAAAGTTCAACTTATTTTGAAGTGGAACTTCTACATACTTCAATTAAGCGAACCAATGATATTTATTGTTACTGAGCCTTATTAAGAGAATTTCAAAACATTTCTAGTTACTTTGTACAAATAAATAAATTTACAGCCCAATGCACGCATGTTTTATCATAACAAGTGTACCTGTTGAAATGTTAACTTGAAGTTTCACTTTTGCAAGGAAACTCTTGGTAATACTTGAAAAGTATACATATTTTTTTTTTCATGAGCTCAGGATGAAGGCCTTAACACACCCGATTCAGTCATCTACAGCGTAACTAACAAGACTGTAGGTAAACGTATAACATACAACTGCAAGGATGATTTTTCATGCAAGAAGGAGGTCATATTTTATAAATCCATGCCACCACTACCCACGAAAAAACAAATCATAAAGTTTTTTTTTTTCTAACGGATCTCAT